GGTCGGAGAATCTACATTATTTTCCACATTTTTTTATGTATGCACTGAGCTGAAAACTTTAAAATGAGATATCCTTAATCTCGATGATTTTCTTTTTATAATCCTCTTTTTGGATATCCCTACTGTATAAAAGTTACGATGCTGCATTGATTGGACTAATATCTGATTTAATTAAAGTCAGCTGTTCACAAGCCGGATTTTAAAGCATATAAATTTAATCATGTTAAAATGAAATTATAAAAAAAAAAAATTTTAAGACTATTGTCATTTTGAATATTGTCATGTTTAGTTCAATTGATATGACACCATCAACACCAGAAATCAAAACCGGTTTCTCAAAAGTTAGAGTACATTTTAACATGACACGCTGGTTGGTTAGATTTTTTCGAATGCGTTTTAAAATAATCTTGGGTTTAGTCAAACCAGGAGCTTAAGCATTAATCTTGATATCCACCATTCTAAAGTTTTCAGATCGGTCCCTTCAAATAAGAATATACATTCCTTGAAATGTGAGACCTAAGCTGTTCATGATGTATAGGAAATCGAATCATTATTATCATTCGTAGCTTTACCTTTAAACCCCTTAGAAAACTTTTCATTCAAAAAATCATACAAGACGATTTTTCAAAAAAAATACTATTAAAATATTTTTATCAACAGTGAAAACATGAAACTTTTTTTAAAGTTATATGTAGCTAAAAAGTCATTTAAATGTGTAAATTAAGCCTCCGATTTCTGTCAAATCAGGCTTGGATGCACATAATAATAATAATAATAATAATAATAATAATAATAATAATAATAATAATAATAATGTATATTTCGAATGAAGTAGATACAGTATTACAATTATATATGTTTAATTTGAATAATAATGTTGTCACATAATTTATGTTAGTCCTAGGTGGACACATTAGACACATTAGAACCTTTCTTGAGAAAGAAGTGTCTAAGTCGTGATAATGCGTCTGTCTGTCTGTCTGTCTGTCTGTCTGTCTGTCTGTCTGTCTGTCTGTTTGTCTGTCTTTCCTATCTATATGTCTGTTCTATCTATCTATCTATCTATCTATCTAACTATCTATCTATCTATCTATCTATCTATCTATCTAGGAGGATGAGGAGGGTCAGGTTGTGCCTGCTCCTGACCGGCTTCAGCTATCAGCTGAGCATATATCACTATCTGGAGTCTATCTGCTGGATCGGGGGGATTTAATCTATCTTTATCTTGGCAAAATTACTCAAACTTTCTTCTTGGAAAAGGTAAATTTCGTTGAGCGTGGAGTCTGATTTGATGTTCCTTGCATGTGCAAGAATTATATCCCACTTTGCGCAGATTTTTTCATTCAAATATAACTTTCCTTATTTCCTTTTCCTTTAACTTCAATAAACATTCAAATTGATCTTTTTAACCTGTTTTTAAAAATATCAATATTTCCTTTCACCCTTCTCTGCTTGTTAAAAGTAACAGAACGAATCTGATGTTTTCTTAAGACGAAAAATTTTATATAATTTTTAATAAAATATTTTACTGATATTCTGAAATATAAGTAAAAGAGACGTCAATATTTGATTTTTGATTTATTTTTTGATGCACAGCGTTTTATCTGTTAATGATTGATTTAATTGAATTGATTAGTTGTTAGATTAAAATAATTGCCTTGGTTGACCGACTGTTTTACGAAATGATTAATTGATTTAAATGACTGATCGGTTGATTGATTGATTGATTGATTGATTGATTGATTGATTGATCTACTAGATATTCGGTGTGGCCCGTCTGACGGATGTGGACCCGAACCTGACAGATTTACCTGAACTTGAGAACGAGGATTCAGATCGTCTTCGTTCCTTCATTCAATTCATTAATAACAAGAAGTCACACTCAGTACCGATCAAGGTTTGTATCCAAGGGGATTATAGTACAGGGGTGTTTATTTTCTAGAAAAAGTCATTTTCCTTGCCAGAAATCACGTATGTTTTTTTTTAGGGTTTTAATCGTTGAATTGGGAAAAAAATTATTTTTAGTGGAAAAAAAGAATTGATTGGTAAAAAGTATCAAAAAAGAGAGAATTTGTCTGTTAAAAAAAAAGAGATTATTGAGAATTTCTCATTTACAAAGGTTACTATTTTATTTATATAACTAGACAGTTGTTTATTGTTTAAATGTTAAGGTGGTGCGAGATGACCTACCTGCGAGGATGGAGTTTATAAACCTTCTGGTGGATGACAGGAGTGAATCGTCCTTCTCATACTACGAGTTTATGCAACACATCAAGACACAGATCAAGTAAACAAACCGGTTTTAAGCAATAAAACCGGTTTAGGGAAACAAGAAAACCGGTTGACATCTGCTGGAGTGGAGCCAAATCTAAATGGAATTATAAAAGATCAGTGTAATAAGACACTGAAGTGAATAATTGGGAAAAAGTCATTATAATTTGTTAAGATCCTTAGCCAACTGCGGTTAACGAAAATCCGCCAGAAAAATTCGTAAAAACCTGCGAGAATTTCCAAAATATTGACGAGATTTTTCCCTATTTTCTGCAATAACATTTTCTACGCGCTGAAGTTTGATATTAGATTAATAGTTTTTCATTTCCTAATAAATTGTACAATATGAACTTTGCAGTTGTAATGTTAAATTTTACACTTCACTATCTACTGTGCAGTTATTGTACATAAAATGTGCATACTAAACCGTGTAAACACAACCCTGTCATTCTTGTACGCCGTACGGTACAACACTGAGTACTCAACACTATTGCACTGTACATTGAACTAAATTCTTGTAAATTGTTATTTATCCCGCGTGTTTTAAAGGGACTGTTGACTAATTTTCAAGTGGCCGTAATTTAAAGAGTTCCTTGTCCCGCAGCGGTATCCTTCTAAACTTTTAATTAACTAAAAATTAGGGTTTATACGTCGATTTTTAATTTTTAAAAGAATTATAATCTGGCATTTTTCTTTAATATAGAAATTGTAATTTAAAATGAATAATTTTATTTTATAACTAAGGTTTAAAGTGTACCGTTGTGATTTGGGCATTTAATTTTTTACTAAAATGACCTCTTGAAATTATTATTGGTGGTCCTTATCAGTGTGATTTATTTTGAGAGTCGAGTTTTATCCATATTTATATCTATCTACATTTATATACAAACCCACCTCCTCCCCTCTTCTGTTATGCATTTTTCCCGTGTTACTAGGCGCTAGTCCTCTCAATATTTATTTCATATAAACATATATTTACCTCGTAGCAAATATTAATTTTATGTACACTTCTGTAGAGGGTAGAACTTAATATCCGCCATTTTGATTTCTGCTTTCCAGCAGTTGATTGACAACAAAGTTTTTTTAACTTTAGATTTTGGGCATTTTCTCTTTTTTGTGTTCTACCCTGTACATTCATTATTTTCTGTTTTATTGTATATCAGGCGTAATGACATTTATCAACTGTCATCTGTTTTTAAGGCAACCTGCAACATTTTGTGATAGTTTACTAAATTCCTTTACAAATATTGATTGGGNGCTAGTCCAATGAATAAAATAAATAATTTGTAAAGTTTTATGCTTATTTTTTTGTCTTTTCATCATTTCATCATTTTCAGCTATTTTAAGTTTTATTTCCCGGATTTTCAGATTTTTCAAAATGGCGGATCCTGCGTTTACTAGTTCACTGCTGGCTGGTAGGTTTATGACGGATTGATGAGATTAAATCAGTCACATCGCGCGGTCGTTATTCTTATATAGTTCATTTAAATGACTTCCCAATAACAGAGTGACATGTTAGATTCACAAGGGTTTAATCTTGAATATAGCAGTGTTCCAGCTGGAAAAGTAATAAACTCTGATAATTTCATTCTTTTCCTTATACTGCATAAAGTCGTTTAAGAGAACCGAATTATATAGAAATTATGCACACTTAGGATTTTTTCATGTCTTTCTATTAGTTGAAATTATGCCTCAAGTCTGTTTAAAACTAATAACCAAAAAAAAAAATAGGATTTGCTGGAAAGATTTCCTTATTGTAATAATATACAGGGTGTCCTACATCATATTAAACCGAGAACGGGTCTAAATTACAATTTTCGGGACTAATTAGAAAATTTCATTAGAGTGAATCATTTTGAAAAATAACATAATGCTTATATAAGAATTTTCTTGCGAAAAATGATAAGTTTTTCGAGTATTAAGGGTTTATTTTGGTGTTAAAGATTGGAGATAATCTAATATGATATGGGACGCTCTGTACTTGAGACCGGTAATACTGTGGACTAGGACTAGGACTGTCAGACCTAAGCAATGATCCATGAACATGATGCACAGCAACTGTCAAGTGTAAACAGACCCATTTAACTTAGTAAGGTAGTTTGCAAGCTACTGAAAAAACAACATCAAGTCCACATAAGAATGACTAATTGGCGTCTACTTTTTCGACAGTTTAATGGGTCTGAGCTGGGAACTTTAGAATGGGATACCATTAATCCCGACTGCTTAATCCGAATATCCAATGTGGACACTTATGATTTCTTGCTTAACCCACTCATTTTTGGGTATAGTAGAGAAAAATCAAAAACCGGTTTATAATTGATGGATTTATTGAACAAAATATTAGTTGATTGATTGGTTGATGGATCGATTGATTTACTGATCGATTTATTAATCAATTGATTGATCAATTGACTGATTGATTGATTGATGATTTAAATGATTGTTCAATCGATTTACTGATCGATTTAATGTTTGTACGTTTGCTTAATTGATTGATTTTATTGATATTGATATATGATTGTACAATTGATTTATTGATTGATTGATCAATTGAATGGTCGTATCGGAAGAAATCAAAGATTTGTAACTGTTGATTATATATTTGAAATTGTTTTGTTGGATTATTAAGCCAATATGATTTATTGATCGAATGACGGAATTGTAAGTGATTGCTTTGTTGTTCTGTTGATTGATTGATGTAGGTGATTTATTAACACATTTATAGATATTGATTGATTAAGTCGAGTTGTATAATTAAATGACTTTTTATTATCATATTGACTTCATGACCGATTGATTGGACGATATTTTCATTTATTCATTAGTTGATTGATCCATTGATTGATTGATTTATTGATTTTTTAAGACAAGGATTCTGGAAAGCTGGAGGTTTCAAGAATATCTATTCAGGTGGTTGAAGAAAAAATAAACAAAGAATTTAAAATACAAATTTATATTTACATGTTTGTTTTCCGTCTGATCTTAACTCATGAACCCCTTGACGGATTTACCTCAAATTTTGATTAAGGAACTAGGTAGAACCTTTCGCTTGGTTAAAAAATTATAATTTGATTTTCATTGTAAAATCTTAGTTTTCAGTCAAAGCTAGTTTTCCTATCTCCTAGCAGTAAATTAAATTTCATCTTAAAAATAAGCGATTTTTTTTATAATTTCTTTTTATTGCTGATACTTGATTTACTGTTCTGATATAGGGAAATCTGATTTTTTTGCACCTGGATTTGGACTTAAGAGTATTTTTTTAATGTCATGTTCACTTTATATACAAATTATGCCACAATCAGTTTTGTTAAATTGTATACACTTTATTTTAGGATTAGGACCAGCTGCTGTGGGATCTGCGCCAAATGCCGCAATATTTTTCTGTACATATGACAGGGAACAGATTAATCAATCAATCAATTATTCAATTGAAAATCAATCATTCGAAACAAATCGAGATCGAAGAAACCAACAAACAAAAAGTTTGATCATAAAAAGAAAGTTTTTTTCCCAAATAAAGAAAATGCCCCTTAAAAAACATACTTATTGCCAAATATCTGGGGGAGAAAAAAATTATTTTGATTTGTGATTTCTAGTGTCAAGAAGTTGGCCAAACAAAAAGGAATAAGTGAGAGCTCAGGTAGGAAAATATCATAATTATTAATAAAATAATGAATGAATAAATGAATGAATTTTTGATTGATTGATTTATTGATGGATCTAGGTGTTCATATGTTTGCTGCAAGCTGTGGAGAAATTACCGCTTGTGTTGGTAAATAATTATTCTACTGGGTTTCATGAAGGGTGATCATTTAACATCATGTTATATATATTTTTCAAATCTTAGTATGAATTTATTTTTTTTGGCTTAGGGAAAATAAATTTTTTTAAGGGGAAATGAGATAATTTTTGGATTTAAAGTTAAACTTAAATCTTAACTTTTCCCTTTTTCCCTCCCAGATCAACAAAATCATCCCCCACCTTCTGAATTTTACGGACAATCTGCTTAATCTCTGCATTTTGGATATAAATGTATATAGTCGTCGTATATATATCAATACACTAAAGACGACTTCCAATTTCAATTTTTTTTTCTAACAAGCAATTTTAAACAGCAGAGGCACATAAACATCTAAACAGAGATAGTTGTCAATTAACAGATTCTCTTTGTAATGTTTACTTGTAAACTTGTAATTTGAAAAATGCTTGTTAGTGATCTAAGGTTAATTACTTGTTTACTTGATGAGTTATTCATAGAGATCCAGGTAGGAACATGAGGGGAATTTCGGTATTATCCTCTGGAGTTGTGATCCGGTCATCTTATAGAGGTCACGCGCGCGCTGTAGGGTCGTAGCTCACTCCTCCTGGCACAAGCATATCGAGCAATTTTGTAAAAGAGTTTATTGTCCTAGCTTCTTTAACTTCTGTTGGGAGTCTATTCCATGTATTTACAACTCTATTGGAGGAAAAGTTGTGTCTCATCTCAGTCTTAGATCTGTTAGGAATCAGGTTTTCGCAATAAGCTGCTGTACGTGTCTATCCCGGTGCATCTGTTCCTACTGTTCTGAACCATATACTGCTGTCTACCTGGTCGAATCCTAACAATATCTTATAGGTTTGGATGATGTCAAATCTTTTTCTTCGTTTCGCAAGGGACAATATACCCAACTCTGCAAGCTTTTCTTCATAATGAACACCTTTTAAACCAGAAATCAGATTTACTGCTCGTCTCTGAACTTTTTCTAATATTTCTATATCTGCAGCTGTCCAGGATTACCAAGCTGGAATAGCGAATTCCAGATGACATCTAATAAACTGAGTGTAGAGTTTAAGAAAAGGGATTCTATCCCTATACAAGAATGCCCTTGAGACCTGACCTAACACCACTGGTGCCCTACGAGCTGCCTCTGCACATTGCTTTGAAGGTTTTAGATGATTGCTAATGACCACTGCAATATCTCATACTTACTGTATTTCCTCCAAGGGTAAACCATACATGTTGAAAATAAATTTATTATTGTTTCTGCTTGTATGCAAAATTTTACATTTCTTAACATTAAATTCCATGCACCATTCAAGCAGCTTGTTCAGACAATCCTGTAGAACCTCCATGTCCCTATCTGCATTAACTTTATGACCTAGCTTAGTATCATCTGCAAACTTGTTCATGATACTAGTTAGCTTAGTGCAAGTGTCCAGATCCTTTATAAATATGATAAAGGCCAGTGCAGTCCAAGTACTGATCCTCTGCCTAATCTAAAAAGCTTGCATTCAGGACTATCCGATATCCACCTTAGAACATTCCTTGTGCTTTCATTTTTGTATAAGCATTAATAATAACAATTAATAAAGTCGTCTTTATTGTATTAATATACCGACCACTGTAGGTAGCATAAACATGACAGTATACCTATTCAGTGCGGGTACCTGTAGAAATTATTAAACAAAGACGACAGGCCTCCTCAGCAACTTCTAGCCTAGGTACATACTACATATATACATGTACATTCCTTCAGTTTGCGTTGACTATGTACACATGTACTGGGTACTGTTCAGTGTACAGTCAACAACTTTTTGTTTTGAATTTAAAAAATACATCTAAAAATTGTATGCATATTTAATGCTTGGTTTTGAGAATATAAGAGAATTTTGTACTTAGAATACACCAAATTCCCCAATATACAATAAACCCATTTCCGGTGGCTGTACAATTGTAAATTGGTTGTTTGTAAACAAACTTCCTGTCCCCTTTGGAGAGCATAGCCATTTTGGGAGAGCATTGCACCTTCGCAGTTCCCAGAGTCCTTCGCTCCTTAGGCGTTTTCTTGGGAGATCTTGGTCCTTTGTAAATTTTCATAAGAGATCTTGGCCCATTAGGAGTTTTTTGGGATATTTTTGTCTCATGGAAGATTCTTTGAGAGATCATGGCCCCTTGGAGTTTTCTTGGGAAAGCTTGGTCCCTTGGGAGTTTTTTTGTGAGATATTTGCCCCTTGGGACTTTTCCTGGAAGATCTTAGCCCCCTTGAGAGTTTTGTTGGGAGAGCTCTGAATATTTGGTATTTCAGATCTGCATATTATCTTTTATTATTTTAAATCTTTTTGGGGGATTTCACAAAACTTTTAATTTTAATTTCAGGGAAATTCCTTTCAGTTTAATTCAGTTCCCACTTTGGGAGTTTCTTAAAAAATCAGTTGAATCAAAAACAGGTAAAAAAATCAGTTTGTTATGAAAATTTAAATATAGACCTCATATTATCAAAAATAATCTTCGTTCTCTTCTTTCACTTACTTAAAAAGACAAAATGAAATATTTACGTGAAAATATGAAAACCGAAACAAATCTCGGATTATTTAAACTTTAGAAGGAAGAACAACCAGATAAATGATAATTTAAATGATTGACTGACTGATTGATTGGTTGATTGAATACTTGATTGTTTAGGCCGTGAACCTTCTCCCCTTGAATCGTCTTTATGTGGTGCAGCCTCAGGAGGATTTGCGGCAGCACTCACAACACCATTGGTAATTATTCTAATTTATTATGATTTTAAAGATGAAGTTTTTTTCAACATGGAGGACACATCTATACATAGCGGACAATTTTCAACATGGTGGACCATTTTTAATATCACGGACACTTTTCAACATGGCCTGAAATGTTCAAAATGGAGGACATTTTTCAATATAGCGGACATTTTTTATATGGCGGACATTTTTCATTATGGCGGAAAATTTATAATATGGTGGACATAGTTCGACATGGCGGACATTTTTCCATATAACGGACATTTTTCACCATGGTGGAAAAGTTGGGGGTCATTCAGGAAAGTGTCCATATCTAATTCTTATTATTTGCCTTTTACACAGGATGTTGCTAAAACAAGGATTATGTTGGCACCTGCTGGATCAAAGGAGGCATCTTTAGGTAATATATCAAGCAACTGATCAGTAAGCAATCAATATTTCAATAAAAAAATCAAATCAAATCAATTAAAATCAAATAATAAAATTAAATAATGGAATCAATTATTAATTTACAAATCAACTAAAATATAAAAAGATAGAAAAATTTTAAAACGAAAATGAATGTTAAAACTATTTTGAAACTTTCCAGGATTTGAAAAAAAAAATTTTTGGTCTTTTTAGGAATTGTTTCTACTCTACAGCTAGTCAAACAGCAGAAGGGAGTCAATGGACTTTTTGCAGGTAAATATGAAGGCACATTCTTACTTGTCTGTGCTGTAGAAATCTAGGGCCTCAGGGTTTTATAGGTAAAAACTAGCACGCATTCACTACATTAACTCTTTATGAAAAATATTAAATGGCGATGCTATAAATGATTTATGCAAAGTTTTTAAAGTTTTTATGACAATTTTTTAGAACTGTTTTTTATCTAGAAAACTTTTTTAGGTTTAGTTCCCCGAGTTTCGTGGATTTCTATCGGAGGCGCTGTTTTCTTCGGGGTTTATGAGACAGTCAAACAAATATTATCCTAGCTGTGATATTTTATTATAAGTGTTAGTCCAGCTGTGACAGTTAAAAATGAATTTTTATTCCAGCTGTGACAGTAAAGATAAATGTTATTCCAGCTGTGACGGCTTAAAAATATATTTTCCAGCTGTGACAGCTGAAGAAAAATTTTATTCCAGCTGTGATAATTCAAGATAAATGATATTCCAACTGTGACTGTATAAGATAAATTTTATTCCAACTGTGACAGTTATAGATAAATGTTATTCCAGCTTTGACAGTTTAAGATACATTTTATTCCAGCTGTGACAGTTTAAGATGAATGTTATTTCAGTTGTGCAGTGTAAGATAAAAGTTATTTCAGCTGTGACATTGTAAGATAAATTTTCATCTTAGCTGTGACAGTCAAGCAAATGTTATCCAAATTGTGACAGTTAAAAATGAATATCATCTCAGCTGTGACTGATTGGAGTAAAAGAGAATCAACAATTAAAACTTGTAAACTTTACAATAAGAACATGGATAACTCATTCATTCTTGGCCATGAAAAGCTTGATGGGTACCAGTTCATAGGACATGCCACGCTATAAATTGAGTGTCATTTAAATATACGCCTACAGTCCTTTTAACCCCAAAGGCTGTGATAGTTGATTTTCTAATCTGCAGTTAAAATATTATGTATTTCGAAACTGCTTATGTACATAAGTGTATTTAGAATCTGCTAATGTACATCAATGTTAACATTTAACTCCAAACAACTAAATTGATACATATTGTGTACACTAATGTTTATAGACCTAATATCCCTAATGTGCCCACAAACCATGACTTGACTGCTAGAAACCTGTTTTATCAAAACAATTTTCTCTGCAGTTCTGACACAGTCACAGTTAAATATATGGTAATCCAACCACACCCCCACTTATTTCTACACACATTGGTATACATATATTGCCTTTTCTAGTCTAATCTGGGAATAAAATCAAACTGTTGGTTTTAACAGATGTTGAATAATCATTTTATAGTCTGATTTTTTAAAACTGATTGTATAACATGTAGGGATTTTGAAATATTAATTGCTATTTTTGACGTTTACGATTATTGATTGATCGATTTGATGATTGACCGATTGATTTTTTTATTAGATTTATTGTCTGATTTAATGAATTGATTGATTTGATTTGATTGGTTGATTGATTGACCGACTAATTGATTTATTAATTAGTTGGTTGATTGCTTTGAATGATTGACTGATTGATTGATTGTTATTTCAGATTTTCTTGTTTAAAATGTCCCTGGTGGGATATAGTAGTACTGCTAAAACATCTAAACTCTCTTTATGGGATAGATCAGCTGCGGGAGGTCTTAGGTATAGAGATAGATGAATAGATAGATGAATAGATAGATGATTAGATAGACGATTAGAAAGGCATATAGATAGATGAATAGATAGATGATTAGATAGACGATTAGAAAGGCATATAGACGGAAAAATAGATTTATAGATAAGATTGATATATAGACAGATGAATAGACGAATCTAGACAAATAGTCAGATAGCTGATGGACAAATAGACAGATAGACAAGTAGACAGTCAGACAGAGAGATAAATAGACAAATAGAAAAATAGACAAATAGACAAATAGAAAAATAGAAAAATAGACAAATAGACTGAAGGACTGATGGACTGATGGACTGATGGACTGAGAGACTGATAATACAGATGGACAGAAAGACAGAAAGACTGATAGAAATATAGACAGTTAGAAATATATAATAAAGACGGAATATAAATATATAGATTAAATGGCTGAGAAGTTAAAGATATATCGATAGATTTTTTAACATTTATTTTTCAATTTGAATTTTTACCAAAAATATTTTAAAAGAGCAGTGAATTTATTCTCTGACTGTTTTATCTTCTTTTTAGCTGATCATACATCTGTTTTCTGTAGATTTACACATTCTAATCTCTTGTAGACAAGGGTAAAAATATGTAGATAAAAAGTCGAATGGATGAACTGATAGATTTTTAATTTTCCCTAACCCTAAATAAATACTAATTTAATTGAAAATTGTTGAAAAGGGGTCATGTACAAAATTGATAGGAGGGGGGGAATCGTTCTCTAGGACGGACCCGAATAATCCTATTTCCAGTGGAGCTGTGTCAAGGCTGATTCTTCAACCTCTGGATGTTGCGAAAATTCGCCTTCAGCTCCAGGTAAACTATTGATTGATTGATTAAGTTCTAAATCAATTTAAAACTTGATTGGTTGATTGAGATTTGTTGACTTATAGACTTGTCAATGATTAAATTAATTATTTTTAAGGACAATATTTCAGTCCATTTAGTGCTTTATGTGATTGATTGACTGACTGACTGATTGATTGATTGATTGATTGATTGATTGATTGATTGATTATTTGTTTATGAAGGTAGAGAGTGGTGGAGGAAGAACTTACTCTGGACTTCTCCATCTTCTAGCCAGAATGCCTAGAGAAGAAGGAACTTAGTTATTCTTTGAATTTTTGTTCGGATTGATGTTCCTTAAATTTCATAAATGTTCAAAAGGACTAATTTCACAGATTCACGAGGTTTTAATATTATTCTGGCGGTCAACACGCCAAGTGTGCTTCTCCTTTCCTGTGAAGGGAGCACATTTAGCTTTGAAATGTTTTGTCTGATCAAGCTTGAATTGTAAATCAATTTTTTTTAATTTTGTGATTTCTCTGCAAAAGTGCCTTTGCGCTTTTCTACTGCAAGAAAACTATTGCGGAGTTGTCAGAATTTAACACTTTTTAAGCTAGAAAAACGACGATATCTTTGAAATTATTGATCAGTTAGAAGGTTAAAGGGTAGTTAAAGGGTAGTTAATCTCTAGTTATTTCTCTAAATGAAAAGGCCAAATTACACTTCTACACTGTTAATTTTTTGTTGCATTTTTTTTAATTAAATAACTAATGATTGAATACAGGAATTAAATCGTTGTGGAAAGGTCATGTACCCGCTCAAATTCTCAGGTTTACTTATTTTCTTTACTTTATTTTCATATTATATTTTTTCATAAGTGATATTTTGTATTTTTCTCCCTGAATTAAGGAAATTAAATGAATTTTAGGGAGAAATAACTGATTATTTTGGGGTGAGAAGTATCTAATAGGGATGAAAAAACTTGCCTTTTGATGTCCAACTTCAAATTTTTAAATCTGTAATTGGAATTGGAATTCTGAAAATTGTTTAATGTTTACTAATATTCCTAGCTTGGGAATTAAGCTTTGCCTTGAAACTTAAAACTTGAAACTTTTAAGTCAACTTAGATCTTTTAAACATTCTCCTGAGTTCTCCTGAGTTCTTTAATGAGGTATGACCAGACAGACAAAAATACAGAGATTACTACTTAATATGTTAAGATGCCATGTATGTATAATCCTATCGGTAGCTTTTTAGATAAATAGGATTTTTAGGGTGAACACAATATGTGCAATGATCATGTGCGCAGTGCTCTTTTTTAAAAAGTTTTTATATTGTTTAATAATTTAATCATATCTTTGCTTATTGTATTTTTGTTTTTAGTATTAGCTATGGTCTTTCNGAGTATTGTTAATATTTAACTGATGAGAAGATATTAACATAATATGATCCGAACTAGAAACTTAGTGTGGAGTATTGTTAATATTCAACTGATGAGAAGATATCAACATAATATGATCCGAAGTAGGAACTTAGTGTGGAGTATTGTTAATATTCAACTGATGAGAAGATATGAACGTAATATGATCCGAGGTAGGAACTTAGTGTGGAATATTGTTAATATTTAACGCCTTATCTCAATTTCTAATGCAGGTACTTAATCTGGGGATCAGGCTTGATCCATCAATTGAAATATAAAGTTATTACTGCATCAAGGGATTAAATCGAAGAGGAATAAAATTAATCTGCATAAAATGGAGATTGTTGCTTGATCCCAAGATTTACAACACAAATGTTCTAACTTCTGATAGACATACCGTGAACGGACTGATGGACAGATAAAATCTGACACTGAACTGTTAAGTGTTAATTAACTGAAAGACAAACGGATTGACAAATCTAACGGTTATTTTTCAGCTGGATGTGTTGGTACATTCGTCTCTTTTCCTTTTGATGTCATTAGGTACACGGAGGTCAAGTAAAGGTCAAGTAAAGGTTAAAATTAGGTGGAGGTCAGGTAAATGTCAGGTGGAGGTTAGGTGGAGGTTAGATAGAGGTCAGGTAGAGGTCAGGTAGAGGTCAGGGTGAGGTCAGGTAGAGGTCAAGTAAAGGCCAGGTAGAGGTCAGGTAGAGATCGGACAATGGTCAAATGAGTTATAAATGGTTCACATGATATTTACAATATTCTCTTGAGTATCATCATTATTATCATGCCTAGAACTCGAATGGTTGCTCAGCCTGAGACTAGAAGAATCTATAGTTCTCTTGTTGATGCTGTTTATAAACTAAATACAGAGGGAGGCTTCAGAGCTTTTTATAAAGGTAAAATTTAAGGGTGAAATTATTTCGTTGAAAGTGTCAAATCCTTTTGCACGTGCAAAAAAAATTGAACATTAGCAAAATTAAATTAGAAAAATTATTTATAAAAAAAAATAATTACATAATCAAATTAATTCAGTAAATAACGATTCAAATTTTTTCAAGCACATGTTGTTGGGTTTAATGGGTATCTGAAACCGCTAAATACCGTCCATTTGTCCGTTTTAAAAATTCTTCCAAAAATCCGAATTCATTAATTTTCATTAATTTTCAAGGTATTTTTTACGATTTTAACGTTTCTGAACTTAGTGTTTCAAGACGTGGACATTTTGATACCTATCTTGATTTTTTGCCAGTTTTTTCTTGCTTACATTGAAAGCTGAATAAGTTTATAAATAAAATTAATAAAAATCTCAAAATCTTTTTTTTAACTGTATCAAAGACAACTTTAGAACTGATGGAATGTGGATTTGAGCATTTTACCAAATAATTTCACCCTTAGGTGAATCAATAATTTAGGGTATTCAGGGTGTTAAGAGTGTCACCCATTGTTCCCGATAGTTTATAATTGACTCAGGGGCGTATACAGGAATTTACTAGGGATGTGCCTACACAAATTTTTCTCTCCATTCACCGTCTACAAGATCATCTATTTTACTTTCGAATTTTTATCTTGTTTTAAATTTTGTTTAATCAATTTCTTCCATTTTTAATTTCAAGATTTCTAGGTTTTGGTCCAACCATGGTTGCTATGATTCCACAGACTGGGTTACAATTCGGATTCTATTCTTTATTTAGTCAGGTTAGTTTGACAATACTTTTATGCTCAGAGCTGAAAACCCAATTGCTAAATCTCGATATCCACTGTGGACATTTATGATTTTCTGCGCTAATTCTCTCTTTTGGATATTCCTGCTAGGTTCCGAACAATTAGAGTTCTCTCATTGATTGCATATAAAATATCTCGGCTTATAATTGGCTGTTAGGTTTCTGCAATCGTCACAGTGATTGTTGCTTGTTAGACGCTTTCCTGGATATTAAGGAAAGATTAAGTTAATCTTCAGATAAAGTTAATTTTCAGATTAAGTTAATCTTCAGATTAAGTTAATCATCAGATTAAGTTAATCTTCAGATTAAGTTAATCATCAGATTAAGTTAATCATCAGATTAAGTTAATAATCAGATTAAGTTAATCTTTAGATGAAGTTAATTATAAGATTCAGTTAATCTTCAGATTAAGTAAATCTTCAGATTAAGTTAATCTTCAGATTAAGTTAATCTTCAGATTAATAAAAAAAGCATTGATCTCAATATCCACAATTTTGTAAGTTTTCAGCTCTGACAATAAACACTTTATTAAACGCTTCTGAGAGAAACCAGAAAAGGCAAAAGAAAGAAAGTCCTTAACACACTTCTAAGTCATGAGCTGAACACTTATAAATTGAGAGCATCGAGATCAATGCTCCTTTTATTAATCTCAAGATTAATTTTATTTTTGGTTTTTATCCAGTGCATAAATTCAACCAATAATAGTGTTGATTGCAGAATTCGAACAGCCAATTAAAAGCCGAGAAATTTTTATAATTTTGTGCGCGCAATCAATGATGGTTGCGATCCAGCAGGCAAATACTAAAGAGAGGATTAAGCATAAAATCTAAAGTGTTGACAGTGGATACAGGATTAAGGGTATCCAATACTAGAGTTTTCAGCTCAGTTAATAAACAAACCCTTAAAAGACAAACTCCTAACGAGACAAACATGAAGACAAATTCTGAAAACAAATATTCACAAACTCCTAAAAGCACAAACTCCTAACAGCATAAACTCATAAAAGCACAAGCTCATAAAAGCACAAACTCATAACAGCACAAATTACTAACAGCACAGCACAAACTCCTAACAGCACAAGCTCCTAAAAGCACAAATTCCTTACAGCACAAATTCCTAACAGCACAGCACAAACTCATATGCAAGCTCCTAAAAGCACAAACTCCTAACAGCACAAACTCCTAACACCAGAAACTCCTAACAGCACAAACTCGTAACAGCACAAACTCTAACAGCACAAACTCCTAACACCAGAAACTCCTAACAGCACAAACTCGTAACAGCACAAACTCCTAACACCACAAACTCCTAACACCACAAACTCCTAACACCACAAACTCCTAACACCACAAACTCCTTAAAGGTAGACAGATAAACTCTGAAAACTTCTGAAAACAAGCCAGAAAGGAAAACAAGGAAATTGAGCAAACTTATTAAAGTAAAGAAAGCAGCATGAAAGTTTTAGGGCACACGGATTAGGAGTATGAGCCGAAAAAAATGTATTTATTTGAACGGATCTTTGGCGTGAATTTGAGTGACTTCTTTTTTAAATGGTTCTTTTTATTCTAGCCGTTTTCTACTTTGTCTGTGCTGCAGAAATCCGCAAGTCACTTTCAAAAACTACAATTTGCCAATTAACAAATTTTAAATATAAACGTAGATTTCTTCTTTTTCTTGCTTCGATGAAGGTTAGTATCGTTGTGAATTGGACATGCCTCCTTTTAAATGTCCAGTTACTTGACTTATGCGAGGACACTTTCTTCTAGGTGATGAGTAATTTTGTAACAGTTCACGATCACCTCCTGGGACACGAAGTTATGACTGTTCTTGGTAGTTTATCCTGTGGAGGGCTGGCAGGTAAGATAAAAACGCCCCCCCCCCAAACTCTGTTGTTTTTTACAGAAAAGTAAGGAATGAAAAATCAATTTTTATGTTTCTTTAAAGGAACAGAATGGCTTTGTAAAGGTAGTTGAACTAAGTATGCAGTGATGTGGGCAAATTCTTTAGGATTCATTTGAGACATAAAAACTTTTTAAAGATCTGTAAATCCGGAGTTTGAGCGCAAAGTCGACGTTCAAAATCGTATTTTTGGGTGGATACATTTTCAGAATGGTTTTTTAATCATTAAAAGACGACAAAAATGTAAACAAAATTCTACAGTAAACTAATTAGTTGTTTAGGAACAGGTTGAGAAAATAAAAATTAACTCTTATCATCGAAAATAAGTAATCTTATTCAATTTTTAGTTTCTAAAATCTCTCTTTAATCAAAAAGACTTTCTGCGGATTTTCTGGAATTTTTATTAAAAAAAGCGACATTTAAAGAATTTGAAGAAATCTGCGAACAAATTCATAGAAAATAAGAAATTCAATATAACGACGAAAAAAGAAAATAATTAATTCTAACTTCGATTGATTGACAAATTTCTTTTGAGAAATATGTTCCTAAACATCTAATTAGTTTACTGTAACATTTTTACTATATTTTTCGTCGTCGTTTTTTATTAATTAAAAAAACGATTCTGAAAGCTACCCACCCAAATTCGTGATTTTGAACGTCGATTTTGCTCTCAAACTCAGTAATTATACATCGTGGAAACGTTTTATTTGTCTCAAATGAATCCTAAAGAATTTGCCCACAACACTGCATACTCAGTTTAACTACCTTACATAGCCGGTCTGTCCCTTTAAACTGTTGATTTTTATTCGAGGTTTCTATGCGAAATAATAATAGTTATACGCTTTTTCGAAACATTATCTTACACGTTTTTGATCAGATCAAGGTTTCAAGGGTACCGTTGTAAATCGGGCATTGTCATCTTAGCATTGAGGGTCACTTAAAATTATGCTTACCGTCCCTTTAACTATCCCTGTTTCTAGGTGTATTTGCTAAATTATCCCAGTTTCTAGGCGTATGTGCTAAATTATCCCTGTTTCTAGGTGTATGTGCTAAATTATCCCTGTTTCTAGGGTATGTGCTAAATTATCCCTGTTTCTAGGTGTATGTGCTAAATTATCCCTATTTCTAGGTGTATGTGCTAAATTATCCATGTTTCTAGGTGTATGTGCTAAATTATCCCTGTTTCTAGGCGTATGTGCTAAATTATCCCGTTTCCAGGCGTATTTTTCTAGGTTTATGTGCTAAATTATTCCTGTTTCTAGGTGTATGTGCTAAATTATCCCTGTTTCTAGGTGTATGTGCTAAATTATCCCTGTTTCTAGGCGTATGTGCTAAATTATCTCTGTTTCTAGGTGTATGTGCTAAACTGTCTATTTATCCTCTGGATACAGTGAAAAAACGGCTTCAAGTCTCTGGTTGGGAAAAGGGAAGAGCAGGTGAACGATAAATATAAAAAATATTTTTAAAAATATGAAAGAAAAAGTATTTAAATCCTCATTTTTTATTTTTAGGTTTAGGTATAACACTTCAATACAAAGGAGCGGTTCACTGTACAAGTAAGATTAATTTTAATATTGTAAAAAAAGCAATTTTTCTCAATAATAGACTTTTTTGACAAAAAGTATTGTTTTTCTCACATCTAATAGTATTTAATGGGGGGAGAGGTAAATGAAAATATCGAGAATATTAAGAGTTATGAAATAATATTTTCAGAGGATATATTGCAACGAGAAGGAGCTAGAGGATTATTTAAAGGTAAACGAAGTTTAGAGAAATATTCTGAAATATATCTTTAAAGGGAATTTTGACATAATTTTAAGTGGCATTTAAACCTTTGTCACAACTATAACAATTGAGTTTTCCTTGTTTTTCTCACGGAAAATGTTTTTTTTCAATTTCGGTTCCCTTTAATAGTGACTTGAAAATTTAAAAGAGAAGGAAATTGAAAAAATCATATCTTTTCTAGACAAAAAAATGAAAATCTTTTTCATTGTTAATTTAATACAAGGATTAACATATATACAAGATGCGAACCAGTTGCTTACCGCACTCAGAAGAGTACGGACCTCTCTCATAGCCGTCCCGGCTTTACAGTTTGGTTGAGCACTGTGTTTAGTTGCCCTTGTCGTATCCTACAGGGGAGTAGCGAGTGTAATATAGGAGGGAAATAAAACAAGAACTCCATCTTCAGCCTGGTTCAACTGAAAGAAGGAGTATTACCCCTGATGGGTATACAAGCCATGCACACTGCTACTGGTTTTTACTCAACCAGCTGTGAGAACTGGACTACTGAAAGATTCCTCCCAATGAGGCTGAAAGACTTACAACTTCCCATTTTGCATAAACAGGGAGCAATCCCTGATACCATTCCTCCTACAAACCTCCTTTTATCTCTCCTACCTGCTCCACAACTTGATGTCAAAAGAACTATTTGGAGAGACCTCAAAGCAGAGAAACAATAAACAAGAAGAAAAAAAATCAAACAGGAATATAAATGGAAGGGAATCTCTGATATCAAGCTTTACACTATCAAATTTTCCAATGGCGAATGAAGACAACATTAGAGAAGAGGCAGGCTAGGAGATGTCCCCCCCCCCTACTCCCCCTCTAATACAGAGTTCAGAAAAAGGAAAACAACCCATTTTTGCTCAATTCAACTCAGAGTTTAGAAAAAAAGCTAAATCCTGAAAAATAGTTCTTTCTTGTAGAGTGGCACACTACAAGGATATCGAAAAAAATTATTTTTTTCAAAATTAACCGAAATATGATGGAAAGATGTACGAACAAGAAGAAAATGAAGAACAAGAAATATCAAAATATTAAAATATTCTCATCTGATATAGAAATATTTAAAGAATATTGTAAAATTTAATTAAAATAAATTATTAAAGTTAAAATACAGGATGCAAAGATATAGAGAATATTGTAAGATTAATTACATTGTTAAATCCAATAAAGGACAAAAGGATATCATTGTGAATCAGACATGTAACTTTTTTTTTGGTCATTTCAAATAACGTTAACAGTCCCTTAAAGCTTTTGCATTTAGGCTAAAGTAAAGTTTGAAAATTATAATTTTAAGGAGTTTTACCAGCCCTGGTCAAATCTGCTGCTAATTCCAGGTGAGAACAATATAAAAATATTTAAAAACAAATTTTTACCAATTTTGTGTTTTTTTTTTCAGTTTAAATTTTTGGCTGTACGAGAATTTTTCCTATCTATTGGCGCTCCGACTAGTGGAAAGATGATAGGATAAAAATATTATTTAGATTTGTTAATTTAATATTTTTAGATAATTTATAGAATTAAATTTTAGAAAGTAAAAAACATGTCGTAAACTTATTTTGCTTTTTATGCACTCTGCTGAGTTATGCCTGTCTATGACTCTGTTTGTACTGTACTGCAATGTACTGTACTGAACACTTCCAACAAAAAATTCCTCATCAGTATTAAATGACGATTAGTTAAGATACTTTGTAGAATTTTTTAAAATCCTAATATCCCTCATTTGAAATAAAAATAGTTATTAAATTTTTGTTTGTTTTTCTTTTGATTCAAATGTTCTGTTTTGTTAATTCCCAAAATTTTTCTTTGCTGAATGCCGCAATTTTGTTATGAATCAGCTGTTATGGATCCGTATTTCAGAAGAATGTCAATGTTGCGCAGTTTTAAAGTTTTGGCGCCAAAATTTCCGGTTGCGCTGACCGCAGCAACTAGAAATCTCTCACGAGGGGTGGTCAGAAATAAAGGTAAACTTATTTTTAGAAGGGGAAATTGAATATATTTAGAATAAAGTTTAAATTAACTTTTACTCTTATTTTGTGTTTGATATTAAATATTTAACTTAATTATTTCTTAGCATTGAAAGACCTTTTTATTTTTTTAGCTCTGCAGAATTGGTCGAGGCCCAGCATTGACGAACTTCTCGTTCCAAAGGAAAAACGCATATAAAAAAATTTGTATCTTGGTAGTAAATTAATTTTATATTTTTTCTTAAATTTTCACAGAAGAATTTTTAATTTTGTTACAAACTAAACAAGACAAATGCTAATGATTTGTTTGATTCCACTAAGATTAACAAATGGTAAACAACCAATTGATTGAAAATAATCATTTATGATATTTAAAAAATATATTTGTGTGCGCTAGAACTCCTGGCAACAAGTACATGCTAGAAACCAGAAACGTTACAACGCTCAGGAACTTGATCAGAATATTATTCTTCAAAATCTCACCGTTTTTCTGAAAATTTCTTATTTCTATAATTTTCCGTTGCTTCTTATTAGCAATAAATACGCGTTTGGAGAGAAACCACAGTTCAAAAAAACGGTTTAAATAAAAACAGAAAACATTGATCAGACAAACCTCGTAACCTTTACAAAGGGGGTCATTTCAAATTACGCTTGGAGCTGCTGGAGCTGCGTAACTAGAATTTTCGAGAGAAAATTTTTAACTAGAAAAAGATTAAAATCTTGTTTGAATAATTGATGTACTGGAAATTGGGATTGCTTAGTTTATCCATTAACTCTCACACTGCAAGCAAAAAATTATTAAGTCTTGTGCACTCTAAGAAAGACGACATTTATCCATACTTTCGAGCATATATTGAGAAAATTCAGTAGTTCAGTANAGTATCGTTGGTCCTAAAAAAAACACACTGTAAAATGAGTTTAAATGTCGTCTTTGCTAGAGCGCACAGGAAAGAGGACAATAAGAAGTTCCCGAAATTTGAGCAGTGTGATATGTACTTGGCTCAATTAATGATTACTAATGACCTACGTATTGAAATAATTTATTTGTAGGATTAATTGATCTGTCAATAAAATTGAATTAATTGTCGATCGATTAGCTGATAAAGATGATATTTAAATATTTAAGAATTGATTTATTTTTAATTTATCGCTGAATAGTTCAAAATCAACTCATCAATGCTTTTATTTTGAATCAATTTTGTTCGTCTGATTGAGATTTGATCAGTTGCTTTTTGGATCTATGGTGTTCGGTGGGACTGTGTTTGCTGCGAGTATAATAATAAATTTCAATCCAATTCCGAAATTCCTGAGATCTGTTAAAATTGTAACAATAACACCAAAATTAGGTAAGGAAAACAGATAATGACAATAATAACCAGTAATTACAACAATATAAAATAAAATAAAATGAACAAAACAAAAAACAACATCAATAGCAATAGAATTAAAAAACAAAAACAACATCAATAGCAATACAATTAACAAAACAAAAAACAACATTAATAGCAATAGAATTAACAAAACAAAAAATTAAAAAATCTAAAAATAAGAAAAGCAAAAGCAATTTTAATGAATTCAATCTGTAGTAAAACTTAAAACTCATTTTTTTAAAAAAATGTTACGTTCCTTTAGTATTAAAATGAATGTAAAAAAAAGTATATTTATTCAGACAAAGAAATCAGTTCGGATGCTGTAGAAGACCTAAGGAAATGATGATATAGTTTCTCTAATAAAATAAACATTTTTGTTAACATTTTATAATACACCCTAGTCTGCCATATTGAATATTCTCTTTCACATAATTTGATTACTTCCAGAAATGTCAGCAGTGCAGAATTTAATTAATTTCTATTTATTTCTAAACCATATTTGAAATCCTTAAACTTATTAGCTCTTCAGGTTTTTGAATTTATCAGCTGTTCAGTTGTTTTTTAAATTTTATCAGCTGTTTAGTTTTTTTATTTATCAGCTGTTCAGTTGTTTTTTGAATTTATCAGCTGTTCATTTGTTTTTGAATTTATCAGCTGTTCAGTTGTATCAAAAAGAGCGGAACAAACTTCTGTTATCTATCTATTTAACAACATGCTTTGTTCCAAAACCTGATTGTCAGGTTTAGGAACTTGCCTCCCTTGAACTATTCTGAAATTGTTAAAGTGATGAGACTGTTCTGGAACATGAAGATCTGGTTGAACTGGGAACCCATGGTAAATCATACCTTTCCCTCAAAGAATGAGACAGTAGACTGACTAATGCAAATTCAAGTGTTCCTCCATTTATCTGACAAGAAGTGTGGAAAATATAATCGTTTTAAAAAGTGTTTAATTCTGTTTTTTTTTCTGTATCGTTTCTGTGAAAATCCTATAGTTATTTTTTATTTACTCTTGATCTTACTAAGCTATGTGTTGAGACTCACTTAAAATATGGAGGCTGGAGGGAGACCCGGGAGGGTCACGCAAAATTACGTTTTTAGATTCTACTAGCTGAAGGGCCCGGCGTTGCCCGTGGAAAAAATGTTGAATTTTTTTTTAAATTCTTCCTTAGCTAATAACACCTCCAGGCCACCTTTGTGTATCAGGCATTGTCATCTTAGCATGGAGGGTCACTTCAAATTGCGCTTTCAGTCCTCTTTAATTAGGCATGTTACTGGACTCTTTTAATAGAGTCACGGAGTGTCATCTTACCCCTAATTTCTATTTCTATTCTATTTATTCGTACACAATTATAATGGTACAATTAAAATCAACGAGGAATGAGATATATAACATATAAATGTATAAATAATGTATATTCAAAAACAATAAAAAACTTGGCTAGTTTTTTTTCATATATCGTCAATAATTTCAGCTATTTCATCATAGTTAAAACTTAAATCCGTCCAAAACATTTTGATTTGACCGGATTAATAGTAAATCTTTTAACAGTGGAATTCTCCACGCATTTTCAGCCGGATTCGCGTAAATCATGTTTGACTTAACTAGAGACTTGTTCAAGGACAGTTTATCTACATAGGTTTCAATTGCAATATTTGATAAATTCTTATACATAATTTGTTCTTTGGTCATTTTTGCATAAATCAAACAATAGTCGGATGCTGTGCTTGGGACTTTTACACATAGATTCGCAATATGATACAAATAGGCTACATAATTTTTAAATGAATTTGTTCAATAAAATATCTATGAGTTTATCGTGGCAAACCAAATAAAATACGAGTACGAGCAGTATTTCAAGAAGTATAGAATTTTACAGTGTTAACACAAAACAAGTTGGAACCATTTATATATGATATACTTTGTTTAGAAACCGCAGATGCAGTCCCGTCCCACCATGAACCCGAAATGGTAATTTAGTCTAATTTAGCCTAATTTAGTCTAATTTAGTCTAATTTAGTCTAATTTAGCCTAATTTAGTCTAATTTAGTCTAATTTAGTCTAATTTAGTCTAATTTAGCCTAATTTAGTCTAATTTAGTTTAATTTAGTGCCTCCCCCCTCTTTAAACTACTTTTTATTCAACGAAAACATTATTTGTATCAATTACTACTTCAACTACTAGTTGCTTAATTATGTGATTGACTGACACGTTAACTCTTAAGGCCGTTAGTATGGTTGACCGGTCTGTAGCTGTAGCAGTGAATGCTGTTGAGAGAGCTGCAGCAGCTCGTGCTGATGTTGAAGAACCCAAGGAGAAGCTTCCAACCCTTCAGCAGCTTCCTGCAGAAGTTCAATATCTTCTAGTCGGAGCAGGAACTGCCAGCTTTGCTGCTTTTAGGGCAATCAAATCCAGGTAGTTAAAAGGTCATTTGAGGAAGTTGAGGTCTAACCAACAGTAGTAGAATCTCAACTAAGGTCAACTCAGTTAAATCCAGCTAGTATATTACATATGTTTAGAGACCCTACAGCTAAGATTCTTATAATTGGTGATGAAGACAGATTACCCTACATGAGGCCACCTCTGAGCAAGGTAAATTATTTCTGCTTAAACGTAATTTTAGATTCACAACAGTTTCCTTTAAAGCTTTGTCAGGTCAAGTCTGAATTAGATATCAATGTTTTAATTTTTAAAACTAGTTATTTTCTTCTGTGATTTCCATTTCAATCAGAATTGAATACTTGAAACCTATGAAAACGACAATATCTTACAAATTATTGATCGGATAAAGGTTTCAAGGGTACCATTGTAAATCGAGCGTTGCCATATTTGCAATTACATGGAGGGTCACTTTAAATTACGCGTACAGTCCCTTTAAGATGAAAATGAATGAATGAGTTAGAATTGATAAAACTTAAAGGGAGTGTATGTATGGACGCTATGCTATTTGGTGTGAGACTTCTTTAACAATTTTCTCCTTATAGACGCAACAGATAGAAGTAAGATAAGTAGCGATCAAAAGCGCCTTTTTATCGCATAAAAGCCTGTACCCCCTTTCATTTTTAGCGAACACTCCCTTTAAGAAGTAAAATATTTCCCCAAAATGGAAACTAATGATTGAGTGAGAGTTGTCGAAACTCTTAAAGTTTAATAATTTAATTCATTAATTAATTATTATTAAATAATTATTGTGCCGTATTTTTTTTCTATTTAAACGTGTCTTTAAGTGTCATGCAAAGTTTAGTCATAATTACAATTTTTCCAAAAATCTGTTTTGTTCATTACAATCCGTTTTCATTAAGATTATCAAGAAGTCCACTTTTTCACATTTACCAAATGTCTAAACTGTTTCTTTCAGACGTAGTTTCTAAAAGTCTTGTTATTGATAGAATGGCATGTCCAAAAGCATGTCCAAAAGCATGTCCAAAAGCCTGTCCAAAAGCATGTCCAAAAGCATGTCCAAAAGCATGTCCAAAGCTTCGTCTGAGGATGAATGAAATGGATATCTTTCATTTCTCTTTTAAAAGTGTGTTAGTCTCCAATTGTTGTTAATCTATACAATTTTGCAATGTAAAGCAAAAACGAAGTTATCTCCCACATTTTTAACAAATAATGGTTTGAAGGTCACCGCTGTAAACGAATGGTGACTTGAAAATACGTTTACAATTTACAATCCCTTTTAGTATCTTTGATTTACAATCCCTTTTAGTATCTTTGATTTACAATCCCTTTAAATATCTTTGATTTACAATCCCTTTAGATATCTTTGATTTACTATCCCTTTAAATATCTTTGATTTACAATCCCTTTTAGTATCTTTGATTTCAGGAACTATGGTTTGTTAGTGATGCAGCCGCCAAGCAAGAACTTAAATTTAAACAGTGGAACGGCAGGTTAGTTAGGCAGCTACCTGTTAGGTTCGGTAGCTAGGCTGTCTCCTGCTTGGTTCGATAGGGATAGGGCAGTAAAAACCCAGTTTCATCTGTTTGGACAGTAGAACTATACTGTGGCCAAATTTAAAGAATTTGAACCGCCAAAAACCGGTTCTAAAAGAGCGCCGGCTCAAATCTCTAAACAGTTCCAGCTAAATCAATTGGTAAGGGCATTATTGAATCTAGTTAATAGTTGGTTAGGGCAGTAGGAAAACTGTTGATTTAGCAGATTCACTTCGAGTAAAGTGTAAAGTGTGAAAATAGTACGTCCCTGAAAGTCTGATTTGATTTTGACAGTTCGTTAGTTGGTTAGGGCAGTAGAAAAAATGTTGACATATCGTTAGGCCAGACGGAAAAATGATGATAGTTGCTTATGGCAGTAGGAAAACTGTTCATAATTCGTTAGGACAATACAGGAAAACTGTTCATAATTCGTTTGTAAATGAAAATATTATCAGAATATATTCATTTTGTCCATCCTTACCATGAAACACAAGGAAAATGCATTTTAAGAGGAGTATTGTGACAAAAACCAGTAGGACAACTGTTGCAAGTTCGTTTGTGCAGTAGGAAAACTGTTGATAGTTCGTTAGTGCAGTAGGAAAACTGTTGATAGTTCGTCAGTGCAGTAGAAAAACTGTTGATAGTTCGTTAGTGCAGTAAAAAAACTGTTGATAGTTCGGCAGTGCAGTAGAAAACTCCCTTAAAGGTCGTTAGTGCATTAGGAAAACTGTTTATATTTTGTTACGGCAGCAAGAAAACTGTTGATATTTCGTTATGCAGTAAGAAAACTGTTAATAGTTCGTTAAGCAGTAGGAAAACTGTTGATATTTGGTTATGTAGTAGGAAAACTGTTGATAGTTCGTTAAGCAGTAGAAAAACTGTTGATAGTTCGTTAAGCAGTAGGAAAACTGTTGACACTTTGTTAGGGCAGAAAGAAAACTGTTGATAGTTTGTTAGTGAAGTAGGAAAACTTTTGAAAGTTCGTTAGTGCAGTAGGAAAACTTTTGACAGTTCGTTAGTGCAGTAGGAAAACTTTTGACAGTTCGTTGAGAAGTAGGAAAACTTTGACAGTTTGTTAGTGCAGTAGGAAAACTGTTGACAGTTTGTTACGCAGTAGGAAAACTGTCAACAGTTCGTTAGTGCAGTAGGAAAACTGTTGACAGTTTGTTAGTGCAGTAGGAAAACTGTTGACAGTTTGTTAGTGTAGTAGGAAAACTTTTGAAAGTTCGTTAAGCAGTAGAAAAACTGTTGATAGTTCGTTAGTGCAGTAGAAAAACTTTTGAAAGTTCGTTAGTGCAGTGGGAAAACTGTTGATAGTTCGATAGTGCAGTAGAAAAACTGTTTATAGTTCGTTAGTGCAGTAGGAAAACTGTTGAAAATTTGTTAGGGCAGTAGGAAAACTGTTAATAGTTCGTTAGTGCAGTAGAAAAACTGTTAAATTTCGTTAGTGCAGTAAGAAAACTATTGATTGTTCGTTAGTGCAGTAGGACAACTGTTAAAGTTCGTTAGGGCAGTAGAAAAAATGTTGAAAGTTCGTTTGGACAGTAGGATATTTAGTTAGAACTGTTCTGTTAGATCAGAAAGACCTCTGTTTGTAACACCAAAGGTTAACACCATCAGGCTGCAATGATAAGTGCTCAGTGCATTTTTTTGTGTTTGAAATTTGGAATTTTCCGCAGCTTCTGATTGTTGTAATATAGTTTTTTTATTTTAATTTTAAATTCTTTTTAACAAATTTCTTTATTTGTAGAGAACGAAGCCTGTATTTCGAGCCTAATGCATTTTATACTCCGCTTAATGAACTTGATGAATCTAAGAATGGTAAAAATAAAAATAAATAAGATTTATTTAATTCTTTTTTTTCTCAGATGTTCTTTGACTTAATGGGCAATTTGTTTTTTCTTAATTTATCTCTCTGTTTTTTTTCTCCCTTTAATGGTAGTCCCTCAATACCCTCTCTTCCTACCTACTCCAAACTCCTTTTTGTCACATTCAACATTTGGAATTGATTTCTTGTTGGATCCATCTTTAAGACCGCAAGGCGGAACTAGGATTTGGACACAAAACTCTAAAGTACAGAATGGAAGAACTCAGAGCAACAACTGCTGAAACCTTTTTTCCACCTCGCCTCCACCCTAAAAACCCGCCTCAGCTTAAATCAGCATGATAAACTGAGCTCAGACATTCTTAGATTAACGCAATAAATTTGCTAACTGAGTCAACAAGAAAGTTAAAGATACAGCAATGCTGATAAACAGAATACACTCAAATAATTACAATAAGCAGAGTGTCCCAAAAAATACTGGTTTCGACAAATCTTCATTATCAGAATCAGGGACAGTCAACAGAAGGGAAAGAAAAAAGGAATATAGAAACAATGACAAGAGGATGAAGCAAAACAGAATTTTATTTTTCTGTTTCAACTGAAACCAATTTATAAAATAATAGATTGTTAAAAAAATATCTATCTATCTATCTAGGAGGTATATCTGTGGCGACAGGAAGAAAGGTTGTGAGGATAGACACAGAAAATCAGGTAGAGTAATTTTTCAAAGAATTAAAAAGTTTCTTTTTTATTATTATTAATAATAATAATAATAAAAATAAACAATTATTTGCTTCTTCAAAGGGGGGGGGGGCACAAAACGTATTACTCACCGGAAAATTAAACAGTGTATAAACATAACTTAGCATTGTCCTAGGAGGCTGATTTTTTGCATGCGAGCTTAAAATTATGTATATAACATGCATTTTTTTGGTTTTGAACGGATCTAAGCAAAAGTGCGCGCGTGTGCGCTTTTTGTGAACTATTAATTGCAATTGAACATATATCCTGATACTCTTGAAAAAAATGAGCGATCAAAAAATTAACCTCCAAAGCCTTAAATGTCCGCGCGTGCGCGCGCATGAAAAGAAAATATCTTTGAATACTTATTTGCTAAGTTAGGCCTAAGTCAGAATAAAAAATAGCATGAGATACATCAAACTGGAGCAAAATTGGGACAAGGAATTCATTTCCGAGGTCAAAATAGACATAGAAGCCTTCTGACCGGCGCGCTAGTAGCCGGCAGTTACATTATGGGTCATCTTAGCCCAGATTTTACATGTTGTATGTCGATTTATAGGTAATTGGGCACGAGGAATTAATTTCTGGGGTCAAAATTAATATTAGAGCATTCTGAACGGCGCGCTAGTAGTTGGCAGTTTCATTTTGGGTCATCTTAGCATAGATTTTACATGTTGTAGGAGGCGATTTTTTGCATGCGAGCTTAAAATTATGTTGTTTTTTTGGTTTTGAACGGATCTGAGCAAACGTGCGAGCGCGCGCTTTTTGTGAAAAAATACAACTTTTTTACAGTAAATCAATCTTAACCTCATTGCACTTGAACATAGTAANCTTGGATACAAGTTGGTCTTGAATCAAAATAATTAATATTTTTAACCCAACTATGTGTAGGTGGCACATTTGTCCGACGGTGCTAAAATTAAATATGGAAAATGTTTACTTGCCACAGGTGAGAGGTCTCTTGCTATTTAACAGAGTTTTATTTATAGAGAAGGTATAAGTGTGATCTCAAATTACCTCCATGCAAAGATAGCAATGTCCGATTTACAATGGTACCCTTGATCTGATCAACTACGAATTAGAACTCCCATGTTTTTGTTCATTGATCAAACTGTTAACTGTCTTTTGTGGTTTCTCTAGAAAAGTGACTGGCGCATTTTTTGCTTTCCTGAAACAATGGAGAAATTATCAGAATTAACACCTTTGGAATCAAGAAAATGACACTATCTTCCACATTTGGATTAGATTAAGGTTTACAGAGTACCGCGTGTTGTAAATCGGGCATTGCTATCTTTGGATGGAGGGTATTTTGAAATCACGCTTCCAGTTCCTTTAAACATACCAACTTATTCACGACAATATGATTAATCGTTTAATTCTGGCTGAAAAATGTATTTTAAAGAAAATTATAAATTTTTTTTTATTTAATACAATGAAATTCATAAGGATTTTTTTTTGGGGGGGGGGGGGTTAACATGGTTTTAACTTGAATCCTTATATCTTAGCAACCTGAGAGTGTATATCTTGTTATTTAGCATATAAAATCCTAAATAATCATTCATTTCCCATAATTTAGCATATAAAACCATGAAAAAATCATTCATTTCCCATAATTTAGCATATAAAATCCTAAAAAAATCATTTATTTCCCATAATNGAAAAATTGTATACCTCTGAAACTTTTTTGATTTGTAAATTTTCTAGTTTATTTCTAGTTTCTGAGCTTTACTGTCTGATGCAAACTTTGAATTTACATTTTCTGAAACTTTTTCAATTTTTTTTTATTTTGTGTCAATCACTTTTTCTAAGGGACTGTGAACATAATTTCATTTGACCTTGCATTTAAATAGATTCACAACGGTACCCTTTAACTCTTTATCTGAGTAACAATGAGGAAGATATCTTTGTGTCTCCATCTCTATGAACGAAAAATTCTCTACATTTTTTTCCTGTCTCCGCTGCATAAATTTGCTATTCACATACGTAGACATTCAACAACCAACAATTAAATTTGAAATTCCCTTTAAGGTGGAATCCCGAAAACTCTGCCTGTCCTGGCGTCCTCGGCTGAGGATGTTTTGTCCTCTATAACTAGGTTTAGGACGGTCGAGGACTTTCATAAACTTGACGCCGTCCTCAATACTGCCAAGTAAGGTTTTTTTAATTAAAATCTTCTTGTTTTATTTTTTTACGAAATGATTGAGGATTGATCAGTTTTATTATTATTATAACTGTAAACCCCGGTTTATTTCAAGAACCGGGTGGACTGTTGTGCAGTACACATACATATAAGAACCGGGCGGACTGTTGTACAGTACACATACATACAAGAACCGGGTGGACTGTTGTACAGTACACATACATACAAGAACCGGGCGGACTGTTGTAGAGTACATTTACATACAAGAACAAGGCGGACTGTTACAGTACACATATATACAAGAACCGGGCGGACTGTTGTACAGTACACATACATACAAGAACCGGTTGGACTGTTGTACAGTACACATACATACAAGAACCGGGAGGACTGTTGTACAGTACACATACATACTAAAGAAGACAAAATGGAACAGTACACAAAATAAATCATTCTCTTGCATTGCAATTTATGTGTTTTTTTACATTTTGCCCATTTTCTAATAAGGATTACAGCGTGCACTACTCTTTGAATATTTTAACATATTTAAAATTTTGTTAACATTTCTTCTAATTTTTAGCTATTTTTAATTTCTTTTTATTTTGCATATTTTTTAGTTTAAGGATGCATTATGATTCTTTTGTCAGTGAGAAAATGATTTTTTGATCAGTGTGAACATTCCATTCTTTCTAATGGTATTTCCAATGCAGTTTTAAAAAAATTTACCAAATTCAATATTTATTTTAACAATTTATTGTTAAAACTGTCTGGGATTCAATTTCCTTTTATAATACTATTCTATTTCAACTTTTTATTGTTGCTTAATCTTTCAGCATTTTCTCTGCGATAAAACACTAATAAATTTTTTGCGGATTTACAATTTTGTTTTCGTAGATTTTCAAAATTTTACGAAAATCAAAATTTTTTTGAAGACCTTCCCTGGGTCATGTGAGTTGCCTCAAAAACTTTGGACCCAATCGGCCTTGATGTTTCTTGGATACAAGTTGACAGACAAACAAACCAGACAAGCAAAGTATACAGGGTGTCCCATATGATTTAGATCGTCAATGGGTCTAAATTACAATTTCCGGGACTAATCAGAAAATTTAAGAAGAATAAATCATTTTGAAAAATTTAAAAAGTCTAATATAATAATTTTCTTGTAGGAAATGCTATGTTTTTCGAATATTATATGTTGTATTTTGGCGTTAAAGCTTTGAGATAATCTAATATGATATTGGACGCTCTGTATATGATGGAAAACTGCAGCTACTACAAACTTTTAGTTTCATAAAACATGACAACTTTTAAATCAACTGTCACGGACTAAGTTAGAACTTTCGTGTGAACAGATTAAGCTTATCTTTCTGTCAAAATTAATAAATTTAAGCCACGTCGCTGAACTACCAACTACCGGTCCAAATTTGAGCTACATCACTGAACTATTAACTACCGGTTCAAATTTGAACCATTTCACCGATTTAAAGGAAGGATTTGAATCAGTAATTTAAATTCAGTAAATTCAGTTTCAGAAGAGATGAGAAAAGAGCTAGTTGAACTCATGTCGTCCATTTTAAAACCGAATGATCTAATGTTTAGATCTGTAACAATCCTCGGTGGTGGATTTCTCGGCAGCGAACTGGCATGCGCTTTCGGTCAACGCGCTAAGGCCGGCATTCTAGGAATATAATCAAATAAAATATATTTGTCTTCATATTCATGACTTAAAAAAAGTATATTGCTTCTCTAATGATAATAACAAGATGCCAATTGACGTAACAACAGGAGGGTCAAAAAAAAAGATTTTAATAGTTTATTTAGATCTAAGTAGGATTTTCAAAATTTGGTTATCTTTAGTTTATTTTCATTAAGGAAGTAAATTTCTTCATTGAATTACTAATTTTTGGGTTCATTTATCTAAAAATCATTGGTTTTCTATTTGTGAAAATTTATTAGTAATTTAGCAAATGATATTGTCAATTATTTGAAGAAAATTGGTCAAGAATGAATTGGTTATACATTATTATTAAGCCGGAATTGAACCACTTTTCTTGTTTGCCGGTTTAAGTTAAGATGATTTGGTTAAAATTAGTCTTTGGAGATTTCATATTTCAGATTTCATGAGAGGAAATGAGTTTTTGCCGCAAACTCAATTTTCTTAATACCTATATCTTTGAATCCTGATTGTGTTTCAAACCTAGACTATTTGATCCAACAGAATTTTATAGTTTGAAATAAAAATATAGTTTGATGGCAAAAACTTATTTTCTTTGGACCCTGGTTTATTTTTATTAAAATGGTGAAACTTAAAATATGTTAAAAAATGATAAAAAAAAGAATATATTGATTGATTATATTGTTAAGAGGTGAACCAGGCCTATCAGGAGGCAGGCAATATGGCAAAGGTTTTGCCTGAATACCTGTCTGAGTGGACTACAGAGAAAGGTCTTGTCTTATATATTTTTGAAGAGCTGCAATGAGACCTAAACTATGTATTGGAGATATTGAAGAAATCCTGTCTGTGTTTGATGTTGTTATAAAGCAGATAGTTTTACCATCAAACTTTAATGTAAAATGAGTCTGTATACAAATGCTGCGTTTGATGCAATGAGTCTGTTTACAAATGCTGTGTTTGAAGTTTATTGAACTATTTAAGATCATAACTTTAGTTTAGTCATAGTTTATATGACAGTGACGCCCTGCCAACCTCCACGGTGATAGGTAGGGGGGGGGGAGACGATAGTTTAGCCTGATCTGAAATTATGGTTGATCAATTTGCCTATTTAATAATGGGTTTCACTGTATATATTAATGCCACACTTTAGTTCGACATCAATAAACCACTGCAATTTTAATGTAATCTGCGAAAATATTGACTAAAATCCGCGAGTGTTATTGTAAATCCAGCAGAGTATCGACAATCTTTGTATTTCATGTAGGCGGAAATATGGGGCCAAGGGGGGCGGTGAGAGACGGGTTCTCTTTCAAGTTTTGAATCTATACTACTTGAAAATGTGTCGGGTTCTCACAATAATTTCGATGTTAAGTACTCCCATAATTCTCTTGGAGTAAATTCCGTATTCTTAAGTGGAATTAACTGCTAAAACTTGTGTATCTTTACTTAAAGGGACTGTTCACTAACCACGTAATTAGTGTCAATTTTAAACGGCACTCCTAACTTATCTTTTCTATGGAGAAACTGCAATTAAGAATTTGAAATTTTACATTTCGATATTTTCTTTATTTTTTCTCAGAAAAATGGTTAACGCATATATCTCTTTAAATGTAGGGTTATTTAAAATTATGTCGACACATATTTAAAATGTCTCTTTTAACAACAATTTGTTTTTTGAAATTTTTTTTATGGGGGGGATATCTTAATGTAAAAGGTGTAAACCGGGTTTTTGTTATGCTGCCAACATCATAGAAAAATTTTGCATAAAAATAACATTTAATGTATGAGAACACTTTTTAGTAAAATCTGAGGGTGTAAATGTTATTCCAAACTCAAGAATAAAGGGAATCAAAAGAGCATCAAACGGCAGGTATGCATTATAGTTTTTTAAATTTTAGAAATCAGTCAATTTTGAAAAATTATCTAATCTTAAGATGTGAATTTGATTGTTTAAGATGAATAAGATATGGTTTATCCTGCACCTGCCTTTCATACGTGTTCAGTCTCGTTAAAGGGTCTAAGCTTGGAACTTGGAAACAAATAATCCGGATCACTTGATCTCGATATCCACACTTGGCACTTTTAAATATTTCGCAAAATCTGCTTTATCTCTGGATTTTGGATATATGAAAGTTCTCTGTTCTCTCATTGGTTGCACGTAAAATTCCCTAGCTTCTGGCTATCTGGATATCTAATAAAGATAAAATATATCTTGATAAACAAAAGATCAAAATTAAGCATTGATCTCGATATCCATTATCCACAATACAAAATTTCCCACCTCAGTACAGTCCATTTTGTTGAATCAGACAGTTTTTAGAGTTGAAGAATTTGTTTACTTTTCAAGAACACTCTTTTTAATGTAGGTTGTTGGTTGATCTATCTACGGGGGCTGTAGAGACAGACCATGTTGTTGTTGCTGTTGGAGTTGAACCAGATAGCCAGTTAGCTGGAGCTAGTAATATACAGGTTAGAAAGCCAGCCAATCCTTGTTGTATACAGGCTAGTTAATAGTAAGCTAAAAGATTGAAATATATGTAATGTTTATATTAAGTTAATTACTGTTCTGTACTGTACTATACTGATCTGTGCAAATTTGTCTATGATAATAATGATAATACTGATAATAATGATAATAATGATAAAAATGATAATAATGATAATAATGATAATAATGATAATAATGATAATAATGATAATAATGATAATAATGATAATAATGATAATAATGATGGTAGGTTGACTCTGAGCATGGTGGATTTATGGTGAATGACAAGTTTGAAGCTGCCCCTAATCTCTGGGTGGCGGGGGATGCTGCTGCCTTCCTTGATCCTCAACTGGGTAGAAGGTAGATGGATGCTATATTGTTTTTGCTAAGATTTTCTCTTGAGAAAATAATATCTTAACGTCTGAAGAACATATAGAGGTTATTATTATAATCTGTATTAGGATATAAATGTACAGCAACATAATATGATAATCTTATGAGGAAAAAAATTCGGCCTTCGTTTAAGAATACATCAAGATTATTTCATCTCGTTTAAGAATTCCATTATTACATTTTTATCCTCATTAGATTATTATATATCATATTTGTGAGGTTCCATGTGCACATACCCATGAAATTATAGTAACAAATAATTCTGGTGAAATCCGACTATTTCAAGTTGGAACAGTTCACATTATGAAAGGTTGCAAATAAGTTGTATGCTCTTGTTCTGACTATCACTGTTTTTTATTTTTCTAATGTTAAAATGTTTAAAACCATTTTATGTGTAAAAATTGGTTCTTAATTGAAAGTAATGCATGTGGTGTGATTGTTTCCTAAGTTTAGTTTGTTTGTTTACAATTTCTAATGAATTTGCTTGTTTCTTAAAAGCTCCATGTGTAGATGAAAAAATTGAGTGTAATAAGGGAAAAAGAGTCGAAAGAATATGAAAACCAAAGAAGAGTAAATGTAGAGCTTGGGTTAACATACAGAGCGTCCCATATATTAGATTATCTCCAAGTTTTAACTCCAAAATAAACCCATAGTATAGTATATAGTATATTAGCCTTATTCAATTTTTAAAAAAAATTAATTCTTCTTAAATCTGATTAGTCCCGAAAATCGTAATTTAGACCGATTGACAACATAATATGATGTGGGACACCCTGTAGATAAATAGTTTTAAAAGTTTAGATTGGTTCCCGGATTTTCTTAAAAAAAATGTCGGATATTTCCAAAAAAAATCAATTGAAATCAACTTTATATTTTGAATTCTGCTTGATTCAAAGCTTATTTGATCTAGAAATAGCCCTTGAAATATGACAAGCACAAAACGTTTCATAAAATTACCTGTAACACTATTATTTTGGCACGACGTGCTATAAAGTTTTTGGACTTAAATTTTCTCTATATCTCTCGCTAAAGTTCGGGACAAAATTTAATCAAAAAAGGCTTGATCCTTCTCGATAAAGAGAAAATTTCTGTCTAAAAACTTTATAACATAGCGAACCATAACAACAGTTATGAAATATAAATGTCCATCAATCAGTAATATACATAGAAATAAGTTAAGATTTGTGCTACTTCTAGAATTTAAGAGGCTTATTCTTGTCTCAAATATATCCAAAGTTTGAATGTTTGCAGACTGACATTGCAAGAATTTTTGCAAAGTTTTGGCAAACTGAATGAGAAAACAATATAGATAGACGCGGCTAAGAAGTTCAGAAGTTAAGCCTTTGAATTCATCTGTTAGTTTAGATTTATCTATACATCTTTCTATTCATTATTTTATATCTTTCTATTCATTCTATATCTTTCTATTCATTATTCTATCATTCTATATCTTTCTATTCATTATTCTATCATTCTATATCTTTCTATTCATTATTCTATCATTCTATATTTTTCTGTTTTCCTGCCTATCTAACTTTATATATTTCAGTTTTAACTTCACATTTTTTATGAAAAAAAGAATTATATTAAACATAATGTTTCACGTCTATCATGACGATCATCAGTAGTTAAAATTCTTTGAACAACTCTATATATATCAGTTATTGTCAATTTATATTTGTTCAAAAGTGCAACTGGGGCCTGGGGGTTTTGGTGAAAAGAATTTGAATTTTATTTATTTTTTTTAAATTTTTAATTTTTAATTTTAAATCCTTTTTTCGTCCACTTATTTCTCCTTCTATCTATCTGTCTATTAATCTGTCTAGGCGTGTTGAGCATCATGACCATGCTGTTGTATCTGGTAGATTAGCTGGAGAAAACATGACAGGAATTCATTCATTTAAAATACTGCACTTGTGGGACAAGAAACCAAGAATTAAAGTCCCAAAGAAGGGTTGCTACATCCAATATAGTTCTTTTATTTGATTACTTGTTTACTTAATGATATTTGTTTTTAGGCAAAAAACGATTAAAATATCTTTAACGAGGTAATTGTGTTTCAGAAAAGATTTTTTTTAAAGATTAAGCTGAGTTTAGATAAAACTTGAAAGCTTGGTCCAAAGTTGAAATTTTGAATTTTGGACAAGACAAAAAATTTTGCAAGTCTCTCTAAGAATTGCAGTGTTAAATGATAGAATTGCAGGGGCTGATAAGTCCTACACTCATCAATCTATGTTCTGGTCGGATCTTGGTCCTGATGTAGGCTATGAGGTACCTCTCATTTATTCATTTATTCATTTATTCATTTATTCATTTATTCATTTATTCATTTATTCATTTATTCATTTATTCATTTATTCATTTATTCATTTATTCATTTATTCATTAATTCATTAATTCATTATTTCATTAATTCATTTGTTCATTTATTCAAATATTTGATTATTTGGTTATTTGTTTATCTGTTTATTCATTTATTCGTTTATCCTTTCTTTAATTTATTAATTCTCTCATCTGATTATAGAGATATTTTCTCTCATTCATTCGTTCATACGTTCATTTGCCCTTTCATCCTTTCTTTTTTTAGGCTGGGTTTAATGTGCTGTGGGTAAATTCGAACATGAATTTTATTCGTTCATTAATTCTGTAAATTATTCACAGGCACATCCAATTCATTCCTTGATTTTTAATGTTTATTAAAAAACCTTATTTGTAGGCGATAGGAATTGTGGACTCTAAGCTCCCCACTGTTGGAGTTTTCGCCAAACAAACAGAAACTGATACTCCTAAGGTATTAAACTCATTAAAGGAATTAAACAAAGAACTTAAGTTGAAAGAAGTTTTTCATGAAATTTCATGACACGGGTTAAAAAACAAACAATAGTTGAATTTATTTCTTTTATAACATGTTTTACAGCAACGTTTGTGACGTTGCTTACATTACACTTTTAATTTAACTAATGTTAAGTAAGCCTAAAGTTTTTAAATCCCGGTCTTGAAATATTTCAATATCATTTTTTTCAGTAAAATTATGTTTTATTATATCACAATTTATCATTTATACTTTTAATATGTCGCGTTAAATAAAATAATACTCATTTGTCACATTAAGCATGTTATGTTTACACATCCATTCAAGGCTTGGAGTAGGGGAACTACATTTTTTTAATATTTCAATTTTTCCATTGACTTATCTGTTACAATGCGGTCTGTCACGCTTAATAAACATAAAAATTTGGTAAATTAACAGAAATCAGAATCAAGCATTGATTATTTAGACCTAAGGATCATTTAAATTACTCCCAGAAAGCCCTTGATGGTATATCTTTCTGGATGATTTAAATTTATAGATCAAACGTTGATATAAAAGTGTCCACATTGGATATCGAGATCAAGTGTTCAAGATTAACAATATCCACACAAAAGTTCTGGTCTCTGTTAACATTTTACCATTAATCTCTAAAAACAAATTGCTGAAGTGAAAAACAGAAAACCCTGGAATAGAAGGCTCAAATTATGACTCTAAATAGTCCATTGATCTTGAGACACAGCAATCTTGCAGCGGTAACAGACCCATTGCACTCAATAATTGATCTAATAAGTTACCAGTGAAACTTTGTTTTGTAACAACATAAAATATAAGTATTTCTTGCTTTAATGTCGTCTTCATATACCACCGTCGGGTTCTTACTGTATGCTGCGACAATCATACTGGACTTATGAAGCGAAATGCAATAGTCCAGGCGCTGTTTGTGTGCAGTGGGGAGGTGACTTCTGTCACTGGCCTAGACCTCGATGTCTTGATCACACTAGACTTGTGTCATAATCGGATATACATTAATTTCCTCCCTTTGGTGGTTATTTTTGATGGGTTCTCGGCCTTGATTTCCACGGAATGATGGTTGATCTTTTATTTATTTATTTATTTATTTATTTATATTATGTTTTGTCAAAACTCAAGAATAAAATATTTCAAGGCGGTGGTGACTAAATCTGGAGAATCTGATAGATCTATATCTGAGGAAAAGGCTCAGGTAGGGTTTCCCACTTTTTCCCGATCAGTTTGGTTTCGTAACATCCTTAGGGTAGCTGTCAAATATTAAAAAGCAATTAGAATTAAGTTACCAAACCTTTCTAAACTAATTTTCTAATAAGTCTTAAGGCCTAGATGGATAGATGTGACATGCTGAACAAGTTTTTTAGCATGTCATATTTAGCTCTAGATAAGTAGGTAGATTTATTCTGAATCCGAGGCACAGGTGAGATAAAACAGTTATTGGAGAAGGAACAGAGAGTAGTTCGGCAAATTGGGATTAGGAGATATAAAATGGATTTATGTAGAGTTATAAATATTTACTGTATGTTCTAGGGAATGAATTTCCTGAGAATATATATGTCCTTAAATTTAGATTTTTTAATACAATACTAAGTTTGAATTTATATACCCTCGGGGGTAAAATTTCGGAAGTGAAATGAAGGTTTATTGCCAGGAATAGTAATAAGAATAGTTAATAAGAAGAAAGTGCAGCAGAATTATTACAGTATCCAGCATGGGAAATAAAATTATAGAATTTTTTTTCTTTCTTTTTGAAATGGTTAGCTTTCGGGCTACTAAACTTTTTGATCTAAACCTCTGATTAATGAGAATTTTATTTTTCCCAAAAGTCCAAAAGAAAATGAGTTTAGCTCGGTCTGTTTATTAATTAGTTTTATATCGAATTTTTAGGAATTTATAGAATTTTTTTTGTAGATTTGTTATTTAATTGTTATTTAAATAAATGTTAATAAATTGCTATTTTTATAAATATCATTAAATTGTTATTATATAAATATTATTATTTCAACATTATTATTATTATTGAATTAGTATCAATTTATTATTTATTTATTTATTTATTTATTATTATTATCATTATTATCATTGTTATTATTCAGGTTCCTGTAGTTAGCAATATACAAACCCCTGATGGTGAAGATTACGGGAAAGGGGTCATTTTCTACCTCAAGGAACAAACATACACGCTTCTACACGCGCATCTGGAACTTGAATGCCCCGTTTCATTCAAGAACAGGATTTTGGATCGTCTTCAATTAATTTTAAACTGATTCTGTTTATGGTCCATCTTTCACCAAAGAAAGCTAGGTTTTATGGAGCACATAGCTTTGATGTGCAGGAACAGACATTTTCTGCTCAATTTCAACAATTAAATATAGTTTTTTTCATTTATTAAGTAATTACATTTTTTAAATAGCTTAGAGAAAAGTTATCATTTGTTTTCTTAACTTTCGAGAAAGGTAAAAACTTTGCCTTGTAGATATCAAGAGAATTTTCCAGAGATGGAAAAAAATGATTTGGTAGAAATACTAGTAACTATTTCTACATGACACTCACGGCAACACATCATTGAATCTGACATCTATGAGACAAGAGTGTACACTGTACTACATTCCAATGGTAAAATTCATACGAATTACTGCACAATCTTGCAATTTCGTAATTTATTCTAAATCCAAGCTTTAGAGTAGGGAAAAAAATAGTCTTGTTAGGTTGTAAATAAGGCTTTTATAAATAAAAATGTTATTTTCTCATCTATCACGGGTAGCGTAGTACATTTGAATTTCCGAGCCGGGTCAACCTTTCTGGTCCCAGTTTATACTGTACCTAGCTCTATGGACAGGACTAGCCGGTGCAACAAGGTTGAGGCGGTCAGACTTTATGCTTCATATAGGTTTAATTTACTGATACTAAAGGGGCAGAGGTGTGTGCTATAGCTCTCCATTAAAAGTAGTAGTAAAGTTCTAATAGAAAACAAAGTTTGAATCTAAAATGAAAGAGTGTATGATTGTGTACGTTGTGTACAGGAGAACAAGATAGTTGGTGTACTGCTCTGGAACGTGTTCAACAGGATGAATATTGCCAGGAGGTGATTCCATCTATCTATCTGTCTATCTATGAATATATCCATCTGTCTACATAACTATATATCTATCTATAATATCTATTCATATATCGATCTATCTATCCACATATCTACATGTCTATCAAACTATCTAACTTCCATCTATCTAGCTATCGACCGATCAATCCATCTATCTACATTCTACAGTGGTCAGCTCATATATCATTACAATGTCAGTTACTGAAATTATTTTATTATGTAGCATATTTTATCACTGGATACTGTCACGAACAGCCGTAGTAAATTTGAATTTCCGAGTCAGGTCAACCTTTCCAGTCCCAGTTTGTACTGTACCTAGCTCTATGGTCAGAACTAGCCGGTGTAACAAGTTTGACGGGGTCAGACTTTATGCTTCATATAGGTTTAATTTACTTTTACTGAAGGGGCAGAGGTGCGTGCTGTATTAAAATACATGTCAATTGTCAGTCTGTATTTTATCACCATTTCAGTAAATAATTTTGTATTAATACATTAACTGACTACAGTATACATCTGTATCTACATCTATATCTACATCTATCTATCTATCTAGGGTATTGAAGGAGGGTAAGAGCTATGATGATTTGACCGAAGTGGCGAAGCTCTTTAACATTCACGGAGCAGAGTAAAGAGCGTGAAGGGAGTAAAGGGAGTGAAGGAAGTGAAGGGAGTGAAGGGAGCAAGACAAGTAGAGGGAGTAATGTAACTTACAACTACGAAATCTAGTTATGAAAATTAAAAAAACGTCATATAAAATGATTCTATTATAATCATAGTTAATCCAACATCTTTCTCACAAAAATTGTAATAAATATCAAAATTAGACAAATACGATAAAATTGATGCTATTTTTTATATTTTTTACAACTTCTATGTACTATGCAACAAAAATTATTAAGTGTTACAATATTAGCTCCTCTTACTCCTCTTAGCTTGGCTCGAAATTTAATTGTTATATCTGGTCGGAATAAAATAAAGAACTAATTAAATCATTATTGTGTTTTTTTTATCAGACACCCAAAAAAATGTGTCCGTTAACGCTACTTTGCCTTATTTATTAGAAAAAAAGTTTATTTTATTTCTTTTTGTTTGGACTGTGATCAAGAGTTTTTATTTAAGTGCCTCACCTTGTAAAGAGACACTAGGCTTTTAGGGCCCTTCGCGCCCATCTTCTAATTCAATTGTGAACATGTTCTCATTGTAACATTAAAAAACAAAGAAAAAAAATTTCGCGGATTTAAAGAAAGAATTGCGGATTTTTAAGATTTGAAAAATTTGAACAAAAATAAACTACTTTTAAACACAAATTTTTTTAATCTTCCTCATTTAAAAACCTTCCCTGGGGTCACACGAGATCCCACAAAAAATTTGGGCCCGATCGGTTCAGCCGTTTTGACATTTATTGGATACAAACAGACAAATAAGCCAAATTTATATATAAAAGTGACCTGCACATTTCTACACAGAAACAAAGAAATTAAATTAAAAATTTAACGACGATATCGTCCAAATTATTGATCAGATTTATAGGGTATCGTGAATATGACATTTTTCTTTAAAATGGAGGGTAGGCTAAAATTTAAAAAAAAGCTTTAAAAGAACTGTCGAAGATAGAAGTTCCAAAGATAGTCCTAATAGTAGAAGGTAATTTGCATTAGAAATTTGTCTGAATAGTGAGTATGACGTCATTGGCTGCAGTATTGGTTTTGAATTTGTAGGTGATAAATTGGTCGAAAATTAACGACACGGTTATAAAACTTCTAAATTTTTATAATCATTTTTAGGACAGGATGCTCTCCTGCTAAAATAAAGCTAAAATAGTAATTTTCTCATGCATCTCTGAAAATACCAATATTTTAAAACAAAATTTGTTAGACGTCGTAAAGTATAGTTATGTAGTAGTTTAAAGCAGAATTTTAGGTAAAGTGAGAAAAACTTGAAGAAAACTTTATTTATAAATATTTATATTATAAATAGGGATTTAAGCATTTTTTCTTTGAAAAAGTGCCCTACAGTCAAACGCTTTTTTCAAGTCCAAACATGACGAATCAAGGTTGAAATGGTTTTTTTTTTAATTTGATTGAAGTTACAGATATAATTTACATTTAAAATCTATACAAGTCTTATATCAGGTGGTGGTGGTGTGTGTATAATGTGTGTAAAGATATAAATAGTTCCCCCCCGGGGGTCTGTTGGCCAGTCCAATTCAATTCTAGCTTCACACACAGATATATTATATTCTTCACTTAGGATATATATATTGTTATATCTTTTATTTATATATATATTATTAGATATTATATTTATATTTATATTATTATATTTTATATTTTATATTTTATATTTATAGAAATAGATATATATATATATACAGTGATAACCAGAAAGCTCTGTAATAGGAAGACGACTTTATAGCAATACTAAAGTGTATTTGATGCTGTTACAAAGCAAATAGTTTTACTAGACACTTAACAAATCACTAAATATGTAAAATGGGTCTGTTTACTCTGCACAATTAAGCTGTTTCAGATGCACATTGGACTATTTAAAGTCATAACTTGATTCTAAAAAACGTCTTCCTATTTCAGAGTTTTCTGATTATCACCGTATATTGAAGAAGGTCGTCTCTGACTCTCATCCTTCGCGGGTAGCCATGTAAATGCAGGGGGACCCACGAAATTTTGGAATAGGAAGATGACTGTTAGAGTAAAGTTACAATCTTAATTATGCTGTGTACGCAGACCCATTTCACATAATAATTTGATTTTCAACCTACTTGTAGAACTAGTTTGGGAACGTTGCCCAGGTTACTGTCGTAAATTGAACCCACCAACTTAAATCTCAAAACCAATCTAAGAATATTCCAGTGGTTTTCCCGAGTTCCCCAACCAAGTTTGAGGCAAATCGGTCATGGGATTCATGAGTTATGATCGGACATACAAACAAACAGAGATTACTACTTTATATATATACTAGCTTGTGAACCCAGCGCTGCCAAGGTTACTAAAAGTTACTCCCGCCGTTTACCCGCACTTGAACGATTTTACCGGGAAACAAAATTTTTACTCTTAAAGTCGACCCATTCAACTTAGAATCTCAAAACAAAGCTAAGAACAATACCGTGGTCCTCCCGAGTTTCCCAATAAAAATTTGAGGGAAATCGGTCAAGGGGTTCCTGAGTTATGATTGGACAAAATGAGATTACAACTTTATAGATATAAATTACCCAAAAAATTTAAACATATTTTTTGGAGGAAATGTTTAAAGTGCGACTTTTCTTAGCAGGGCCGTAACTTAGGTGGGCACCACCTCCTTCCTTCCAGTTACGGGCCTCCTTCATAGCATTCTCTGAAGTCATATAAGACTTAGTTAAGTGAGACAGATTTGTTTAAATAAAAGATTGCAATAAAGAACAATATACAAGGTTAGCAACAATAGATGAGACTTTAACAGAGGGATGATAGTTCTTTACCTGTGTGCTCTGTTAGCTGTACTGTACACTTACAACTGTTTACTAATATTATTATACTATAGGTTAGGCCCAGAGGGATGATAGTTCTCTACCTGTGTGCTCAGTTAGCTGTACTGTACACTTACAACTGTGTAATAATATTAATATACTATAGGTTAGGCCAGAATCAACTTATAATAAACAAATATGCAGTAGGCTCCCGGTAAAGTTTATGGCCTATAAAATTAGTAAAGGATTAGCGTACATCATCACTCTGTTCACTATAATCTCGTTGAATTTTTTGCAACCCAGGACAATATACAAAACTATAGCAGTTCGAGATTTGAACCATAAACTGGGTGTCCCAATAAACATGGGAATTGAGAGACGACTTGAAAGTCGTCTTTTATTTCTGATATTTAATGCATGGCAAAGAAAGTAAAAAAAACGAGGCTGTGCGTCTGACGAGCTTTTCATGTGATCCATACACTTTACCTTTCTTGTATCTTATTCATAGATAGACGATGATATAAGATTTTAATTTTGATTTTTTAAATAATGTGAAATTTGTTAAAAAATTCGCAATATCTCGTTCAATTTAGAAGATACAAAAATGGCAGACAACATTTTAAAAATCTCAAGACCAAGCGTTTTCAATATTAGATGTTTAAGCTGGAACATTGCAATAATTGTGTTCACAAAAAATTCCGAATGAATCGAAGACGACATAAAAGTCGTGACATGTTTACTGGGACACCATGTAGTGAAAATTTGTTCTCGCAATTTAGTTTGGGCAGAATTCCGTATCGTTTGTGCTTGCTTTAACACAATTGTGAAATTCAGCGCAAAAAATTGTGGAATTCGCACTTAAATTTTCGCGGAAATGTGCTACCGACGGGAAGTTGAAAACCCTATTCATAAAAAAATAATAAGTAGAAAAATAGATCGAAATTTAAATAGAAAGGCAGATTGGATGGAACAGACAGATTTAAGAATATAAATTTTAAAAAACAGATTGATAAAAAATAAGAAAAAAGATAGAAGAATAGAGGAATAGAAGAATAGATGGATAAATAGAAGAAAATGTAGATAGATAGATAGATAGAAGCCCCCTGAAACAGAATGTATTGTGAACCTCTGGTAGTTCTCCGTTACCCTTCTTACAGTGAATATATCCTCCTCTATAGTAACGGAGGCGTCAAGAGAGGGGGTGGTAGCTATAACAGGAGGGGGGAGGG